GCCCTCCCTCTAGCGCCAAACTGTTGTCAAACGGAAATGAACAACAACCAAATTGAAGTATATTTGAAGTAAAGCTAAGTGTTCAGTGATAAGAACTTGCAAATTATAACAGGAGATGAAATTTCTCTGTAAAGTGTTATTATTGTCTGTCGTCCCTGGAGAATTCTTTTTTTTTTCTCCTTTTATATTTACGTACAATATTTATCTGTACAATAATCATTACACTTTGAAAGGTCAAAGGCGGTCCTTAGTTGCTTTTCTTGATAGCTTGCCACTTGGACAAATGTAATGATGAGTTATACTGAGTTGTCGCCGCCTTACCATGCTGAGGTGGCATGTTATAGATATCGGTTCATCCAGTTATAACCGATATGTTGTGACCGACATGTATTGACCGACATGTGTTCACCGACATGTGTTGACCGACATGTGTTGGCCCACAAGTGATATCGGTCAACTAGTGGAGATGTCGGTTCTTGTTGAATCTTTCATTGCGCGACCGTCTTGAAGTTGGTGAAAGTGTCACGTGCTTGCATGAATCTTAATTATCCTTATACTGACCCCAATTGGCGGATCAACGTCACTTAATCTAGCTTACTGAAAATGATATCAACAATTCTATTTATCGAATTTTATTTATGAGATTATATTTATTATATTGGTTATGATGTAGTCAATATTTGGTATTTAAAATATGTATTTTCAGTTTAATCGCATAAATCAAATTTAACCCGTTCGGATATGGGATTTTTTCGGTATTCTTTTTATCAATGTCATTTTATTTTATTATTTTAATGCCTTGATCATGTGGTTATATATTGTATTATTGTGCAAATAATATTATTATATATGTCGTTCAATTTAATTTTCGATCGCGGTTCAATTTTCGGTTTAATCGCGTAAACCGATTTTAATGCGTTTTAATTCGTCTCTGAGCCATTTCTAACCAAACCTCGAGTATACTTGTTTGGCCAAACCCATTGTCCATTTCGGTTCATTCTTAACCCTGAAAACCGACCCATTTCAATCGAGGTGGTCATTTTTGCTTTAGAAATTATTTTAGCCTCATTAGTTTCAAATTTTAAATAAATGGCAATGTGTTTTTTTTTTTTTTTTTTTGGCAAGTGGTGGAGTAAATTCACACAAGCCTTTTTAAATCCGTTCAACTGCCCTATTATTAGCAAATTAATATCTATAAATGTGGGATTAATCACATTTAATATCTTTTGGAGTGAATAAAGGAAGTTTACCTTTTCCAATCTCCCATTGTTTTTCCTCACGTTATATCTACACCCTCTCCAAGAAATTTCTCTCCCTCTCATATTACCTTATATCTCTCGAACATATGAGGAGAACAATCACAAAAATTCAGAAAAATCCATCGCTCCTGCATTGGCAATCCACCTTTCTCGGCCTTGCCTTCGTCGCGCGCAACACTACCGAGAGATGCCAGGCCCGCGCCGATCCCGCACGAGTACATCGCGTTTAGCCCTCATTCGACCAGCAGCAAAAATATTGAGGAGTCACATAGTATTCCCCTCATCCTCACCATCGTTCTCCTTCTCTTGGGCGTCGCAAGCCACCAACGTCCCCGACATAACCTCACGTCCGACAAACAACATGCGGTGGCTGTCAATTACTACTCCTGCTCGCGAACCCACGTGCAACGGCTGCCCACGTTGTTGTCCCGAAGTCCGAGCTGTTATATTTTGGTTAAAATAAAAATGTAAGATGAATTATATGTTACATGCAAAGGTGTAAGAGAACTTATATGTTACATGCATGAGTGAAATT